CAAATACCCATATGGTCCTCAACGTCCACTTCTCATCGGAATTTTCCCCATCCGCGAGGATGAATCTGCCATCGCCATCTGTCATCGTCTGCTTGACTTGGCTTCAATCTACCCACAAACTTCTCCCTGTCACATCACCATACAAAGCGTCCTTCTCAGTGCGCCATTCGTTGTCCAACAGGTACTGCTGGCTAGTCCCTGGGATGGATGCGGCTGTTGCGTACTGACTGAAAGTGTATCGGTTGGCCTTGGGCTATTGGATTTTAACCTTTGTAGAAGTAGACGACGTGGCTTTTCCAAGTAAGCCATAAATTCCTTGGACTGCGAAGACGGGCGAGATGTCGTCGGAGAGGGGTTTGTTTAATTTCCACGTTCCAGCCAGATCCTGGAGTGTCTTGTGAGGTGGCGCTGCCATCGCGATGAGCTGCTTTCTTGGGCGGTTTGCCAAACGCGAGAGGGATCCGCTTGCAGGGTATTGAAGAGAAGCAGCATTAAGATGTGAAGGGATCGTCCATGCGGTCCACTTTTCGTTATCATCATCAAGGACTCTCCATGCCTTGCGACGGACCAAGATTTGGAACCCTGGCTTTATTCCCAGCGCTACGAACAACAGGGCAGCAAAACCACGGCATCTTCTCACATCATCAGAAACAATGTGAAAACATTGATCTACTTTTGTGACAGGACATCAGTGCGCTTGACTCGATTGGAGGAAAGAGGCGCGTTAAGCGCTGCCCCTCCCTACTGCTGGTGCTGGGAGTGGGACGAAGCTGAGGAAACAGCACCGGAAAGGCATCTCTATGAGCCTCATGGCTCTAGCGGCAGCATGATATGGATATAAAATGGGAACAACATTGTGAACGCTTTTCTAAGCTCTACTACAACTACGGGACGCACTTTTTTCCGTGGCGGCCTCCGGGCAATGCCTGCCGCAAACCCGCACTTCATGGCAGGACACTCGTCGAAGCTTGTGTCCTTCCAGCTATCGAGACCACAATCCGACAAGGATCGGCCCAGAGTTGGCCGTCTCACCTTCCAAGGCCGCAATCCAATTGATACTCCTCATTATGTGGCTGTCAGCTCACGAGGAGCTGTACCTCATCTCTCTCAAGACATGACGAGAGACAACACAGCGATTCGTGCCCTGTATACGGCTGTTGAGGAATGTGAGTAGCTCGAAACCTCTGCGGACATCTCCTCCAAGTACTGACGAGCGAGCTCTTACTGGAGCCCGCAAGTTGTAGAGAAAGCATCCCATCAATCACAAGTCCCACCAGTCTTCAACTTCCCTGCCTCTTCTGACGAATCACCTTTGCGGAAGTTCATTGCTCTCCAGAAAGATGCTCTGCTTATTCTTGGTACTCGACGGGTACCACCGTTACCATGTCCGGCCTCGAGTACCTCTAGCGCTATATCAATCATCACATCACTAGGCGTTGGTATGCTGGAGTACACCGACTACGCAGAAGCGGTTCAAAAACTCCGGCCGGATATAGTTTTGGCTATGGGAGATGTGCTGTTCGGACACAAGCCGGGCATGAAACGGAAGGTTGTGATGGGTGATAGGACGCTCGCTTGGTTGAAGGAACTGATATCTGCGATGGAAAACGAGGAGGATGGCACACCAAGGACCGCATTGTTCGCGCCAATCCTACCCATTGAGGCCGAGCAGCAAAATTACTACCTAGGCGCTCTTCAGGATGAGCTCAGAGACAGCGTGTCTGGGCTTGTTCTCTACGATGCTGCGTCCGTTGATGCTATTCCTGACAACCTGCGTGGCCTCCCTCGATTGTCTTTGGGTGATGCCACAAGCCCCCACAAGTTGCTGGATGCCATGGCCTTGGGAATGGATGCTTTCACTATACCATTCATCACTGACGCTACAGATGCTGGGGTTGCCTTGGATTTCTCCTTCCCGGCTCAGAGTAATGCCAATTTCGAGGGACGATTGCCTCTCGGCATAGACATGTGGTCCTCTACGTTTGCCAATGATATCTCTCCACTTCTAACGGACTGTCCATGCTATACTTGCACGAACCACCACAAAGCCTTTGTCCAACATCTCCTGAATGCAAAAGAGATGCTAGGTTGGGTACTACTACAGTTGCACAACCACCACATCATTGACGAATTCTTCGCCGGGGCTCGCGATAGCATACAAAGCAGATCCTTTGAGGGCGACCGAGTATTGTTCGAGAAAATCTATGCAGCAGAGCTACCAGCGAAAACGGGGCAGGGTCCGAGGTAAGTACAGCGTTCTTACCCTGAAGCTCATGTATGCTGATGATCTACAGAGTCAGGGGCTACCAGTTCAGGTCTGAGGGCAAGGGCGGACCTCGCAAGAATCAAATTGCGTACCGGCCGCTTGACGATGGAAAAGAAAAACTCGCCGAGGCCGCCTTGCCAAGCCCCGACGCCGATGCTGAGCATCTAGAAGAGCAAGGATTTGCGGAGAAGGTGAAATGATAGCCCTCTCGGCCCTCGGAATGATGTCACAAACCCCCCCCCCCCTTATTCACTTTGGTATTCGAGTCTTACTCGCTGTACTACACTCGCAAGTCTGTCCTTCTGTCTGAGGCTTTTTGGCATATGAATGGCGTTATTAGCAAGATGAGGCAAACGGTGCAAAGCCCTCCACAAGAAGTATCAGCAGAAAGGGTGCAATTGCTAGTCAGAAGAAAGCCACGTACTGACGCCCTTCAACTGTTATTTTTGCGAGCTCCATAGTCTACCATCCTAAGGAAACCCGTGGCACTTCAGACACGCAGCCAAAGAACCAGCAAAGTCAATAGGCACCGGTCTCTCAGAAGATCTACGATGGAGGGCCTCAAGCCCAGAGACTTCAGTCAATAAACACAAGCACTTCAATAAATCCTAACTAACTGAAACAACACATCACTCTTCTCGCTGAAATCCCGCGATGCTTCTGGTAATCTTACCATCAAACCCGCCAGATTACGCTGAACTTCGTTTCGAATATTTGTTCCACACTTTAGGAACAATCAATCACCTCTTTGATGGCGTTCACATGTTCCCCACCCTTTATATTTGTAACTCTCTTGAAGAAACGCGGCACCACATACCGGTCATGGCAGAAGTGCCCAGAACTATGATATCCACCATCCCCATAAACACACTCAAAACCCCTCAAGGTCCAAATCCCTTCTTGTACAAATCCTCTCCTCTCTTCTCATTATTCCCTCAACGCTGTCGTTATCTTGTTACAGATACGGAAATTTCATACCAAACTTTTCACATACTCTCAAAATGAAAAACATTCTCTCCATCGCCGTCCTTGCTGGCCTGACCACGGCCTATAGCGGCGACCTAACCTATTACGCCGATGGTGTCGGATCCTGCGGTCTCACGAACACCGACAGTGACGCCATCGTCGCCCTCTCTCTTCCCATGGTATGTATCTTGGGACCAAGTTTTCAGTACCCCGGACCAATGCCGGAGTTCCAAGACGTGCTCCGGGAGCAACAAACGGCTCTCAATACCTCTCCGATATGTGTCATCTTCGGGCCTTTGCCTTGTGGAAGGAAAGCTGACCCCGAAACGTTTATAGATGGCCAACGGCGGCAACCCAAACACCAATCCCAAGTGTGGGTCGAAAATCAGCATTCACAACCCCACTTCCGGTCAGACAGCCCAGGCTACCGTGGTCGACTCGTGCGCGGCGTGTGCCATGTATGATATTGACGTCTCGGGGTCCCTGTTTACGACACTGGCGGGAGGACTTTCGGCAGGCAGGGTGTCGGTGGACTGGGGTGGGCATATCACTCGGTGGCTGGAGACTCTGTGCGGGGAGAGCTGACTGCCGAACAGAATTCCAAGGGCAGGCACCCAAGCTCAAAGAGCGACGGAAGAATCGTCTCTGTTGGGGCAGCTGGATATGCTAAGGGGAGACCGGGTTGGGATGGCCGGGATCACGGGAAATGGTCATTGAACTCTGCCCCTTCAATTCATCCCGTGTATTTACAACGAAGCAACACCACCGCTAATTAACCACCAACTCTTTTCCACTTCTACATTTCTCATGTTCAAGGCCGCTAGTTGGAGAGACCCGCTTACACCGACGGCTGTCGTTACGGGACGCCCAACTCTTCAACCCGTTCCGTTTTCAAAGCCCTGCCCAGCACTGCTCGAATACTTCTTGTTCCATCAATCCCTCCGATCCCATTCTCCACGTCATCGATGCTCTTTGTGAATTCGTCTCCTACATTGTTGAAGCCAGATCAGTCGCCTCGCTCAGCTAATGTCGACGAGCCCTCACCTCGTTCTACGACGAACCAAACATTCAATTCTCCCAAGCAGACACCGCAGACACCGATTGAGGTTCTCTACAGCATCCTCAACCACAAGGTAGCCCCTTACCGCTGCTTCAGAGAGGGATGGGCTAGCCAGGTATCGTTGTCCATCGGGCTTTCGTACAGTTGCGCTCGAGGCCGACCACGCTTTGAAAGATCGTTTTGAGAGATAATGAATCTGCAACAGAGTAACACAGTAAGAGGGTAGGACTCAAGCATGTTCGGCAAGGCTGTGCGACGGAGAACAAAGGGTCCTCGAGGATGGTTCGGAAAGCATCCAGGCATGGCAACCAAATCGCAGCCAAAGGCACACTGGTGCACTGCCTGTGCGGTAGACTAGGTCACTATTCAGCTGTACGGGGCTGTCTTTGCTAATAAGATTATAATGAGCACAGTCTGAAGTCCGAATCGTGTGTGATTTCCATATCTACCGCCATCTAAGATACATAAGTTTCCTCTTCTCATCATCATATGCATGCCGTCTTGCAGTGATAGCACCATTTAAAAATAGCACCGTAGCTCAATAGAATACAATGTGGTCCTGGGTAGAGCAAGTAGCTAAACCAACCATGGGATGCATGTGTTCAATCGTCATCTCCACGCGGCAACGCCTAGCTTATGATCAAAAAAGCACATCAAAAGTATTACCAAGAAAATGAATTGTATCACCCCAAAGGTTCTGCCAACCAATTATTTGCGGTATGGCTCATGCACGAAATCATCGAGCACGCCGTCATCCTCATTTTCATGCTCACGGCCTCTGTCTTCTAGTGCTTCTGCAACCTCGTTCCTATGATTGACATCGTCTTCCGGCTGCGTCACGAACTCGTCGAACATGTTGTCCACATTGTCACGTGCCGCAGACTGATGACTGTTCGAGTAGCTATGGTGGGGAGAGTTCATGATGCGGTCGTGAGGATGGACATTGTCGTACGGATTGTCGACTGGGCTGAAAAGGTTTGGATCGAGGGCGGAATTGGGATGGGAAAGTGGTGACCGCGGTCCATACCTGGGCGATTCCACGAAAGGCGAATGAGGATGGTGACCGTTTGGGAAGTAGGGGCTGGTGGCAAATGACGGTGACTCGGGAAGCTGGTGAGGATTGTGAGAGGCTGGAACAGGATAATGGGCTGTATATGATGGGTCTGCGTGGGTTGTATTCGATGAGGATACTGGGAACCGTTGGGAGTGAGAGTAAGTCTCTGAGGAATTGTTGGTTGAGGTTGAATGGGATGATCGTGGTCGTTTTGCGGGTGCAAGTGTATGCGGATTCTTCAATTGCGCATCGCTGCCTTTGCGAGCTTTGTTGATGTTGTATGGCTTGGTACGGAACTGCAGAGGCAGCTCTTCCGGAGTGTTCACATTATGCGCCTGCATCAGTTTCTGCTGCTTAGTCGGTCGCGGCTTGCGAGTGGAAAGCGATTGCTCAAGTACTGGAGGAGGCGTAGGAGCGACCGGGGCCCATTTGTGAAGCTCTTGACGAAAGAAGTTAGTTTCAAACCCCAGGAGAATCTCTGCACCCTCGATCTTTCGAAGATAAAAGCGCTGCGTGGTCACTTCTTCCGGGTTGGTCATCACTGGATTGATATAAGGCCGCATGAAGTCTCGAAATGCCTTCGCGGTCGCAATAATTTCCTCCAGTACTTCTTCTTCCTCGGGCTGAAAAGGCAAGTCAGGGATCTCAGCTTGCCAATCCTGAAGGTCTTCAAGCTTGGGACGAGCTGCATCACGAGGTATCTTGACACGATAGTCGCAAATCGGGCAGGTGTAATTATCATCTTCTTTGACCTTGCCACGGGCAATTTTGAGGCACTTGCCATGGTACCTATTGGAAAGTCAGCACACACACACACCTAAATGAGCATAGCATTTCTCACCATTCGTGACACAATTCGCACTCAAGCATCATGCCAGCTTCAGGTTGACGACACATGCAGAATACGTTCTTCTCAGACTTGACGCCGTCAACGTCTTGCCCTTCAACTGGAGAATTGTCCCTCGATGCAGGTTCTACAGGCATCCTTGGCTTATCGGATAGGTCGTAGCAGTACGAGTTGTGCTCAGCCACGTAGTTCATATGGGCCTGCAAGATATGTAATGGCGCGTTTGCCTTTCCAAACAGCTTCTTCCCTTTCCTCATCCAGTTTTCATGGCGCTTTATCATGGTCTCGAGGTCGAGGGTACCGGTTGGCTTGCTATTGAGCTCAGAAAGGCTCGCGAGCACGTTGCATACCACCTTGTACATTGGCCGTTTTCGAAAGTCAGAATCCTTAGAGTCGTTGTATAACTCCCGAATCTTCTTCTGCGCTTCTCTCTGCTTAGCCAATATTGCCTCAACTCGTGCTCGAGTCTCGTTGGTGATAGGCAACGTGTCAGCTTGATTCGCAAGTGCCTCGAGTTGAGGATGATGAATCGGCTCAACAGACATAAGCTCTTGAGCCTTGTTCTCCCAGAGCTCACCTCGGGTTTGCAAGTCTTTGTAGCGGACAAGAAGCTCGTCATTGTCAGAGATTCCAATGTCTCTTCCTCGCTTCATAAGTGTGGCCACGTCATCCAACGTTTTAAACTTATCCTGCATTTCGCGCGCTTCATCGGTCCATTTCATTTTGTGGATGACAGTCTCTAACTCATCGACTTCCGGAACGTCTACATTGAATGTCTTTCCCAACTCAGCCAGATCGACAAAATCTTGCGTTGGCCGCGATGTCTTGGTCGATAGTGCAGCTTTCGCATCACGCTGGAAGTTTGCGATGTCTTGAGAACGCTGGGCGAGCGTGTCTATTTCGGGGCAGTCAAAAGAAATTTCTTCTGCTTGCGCGAGAAGCTTGTGGATGTTTTCGATCTTCCTCAGCTCCCTATCACGCTCTTCTTGTTCAGCTGCTTTGGCAGAGTTGCTTTTGCGCCATGCTTTCTCATTCTTGCGCCTGTTCTGCTGTTTCCTGGTGATGTAGTTTGTAGCTTCGTCGACCCATTCGTTGCATCTGCCGACAAATGCCTTGAGATCTGGAAGGCCAGGTAGTTCCCACGGTATCTTTTCTCCTTCACTCACTAACGAGCGGAGAACCTTGAGCGAGGGTTTTGCTTCATCGTCTAAAGCCTTGTCCAACTTCTCGTGCCAAGCTTCTGGCATATATGCCCGGTCGACGACTTTTTGCACAACAGTGTTTAGAGCATCGTCGGAGAGCCGATACCTGAGCGTGTGGCCAGAGCCTGTGAGGCGTTGCTCTTCACTAGCGTCACAGCACCCGTGGCTACCCGCATGAAGCAAACACATGACTTTAGACGTAGTCTCGCACCGGAAGGAGGAGAGATAGCTGTAGGCCTTGCAGTAGGTGCATTGATACTCAATCTCCGGAACATCTTGATCCTGCACTTTGAAGCCGAGAGCACAGCTGTCGCTAGAGTCGACTTTCTCTTCGATCTTGCAGTGGTGAGACTCAATATGATTCTTGTGCCGTTTGAGGAGGTCATGTCTCTGCTGCATTTCACGGTCCCGTAGTCGGATCAGGGCAGGTGCAAGCCACTTCGCTGTTTGTATTGTAGTATCTCGACCAGCCGCTGTCATCAAAAGCTCGTCATGCGAGAAGCACGGCTGTTTCCTAAACTCCTGAAGCCGCTCCACACCTGCTTCACCATAAGGTTCCCAATCTTCTGGCGCAAAGTTGACCGCTTCATTGAAATTGAACCCGTGGTTGAAGCCAGCATGATATGCTTGTGGGAAAGTGATGACGAATTGGCCAGCTCTTTGGTCTAGGGCATACACATTGACACCTGCTTTCTTCAGTCGATCTGGGGGCAACAATGTGACAAGCTGGAACAGTAGATCTGGCTGCGATTCAAAGAGCTCTGGAACAGCTTGCTTCATGGCCTCTTCAAATCGTTCCGCGTCAGCGCCGGGAATGCCATACCAGGTCTTGGTCGCACCAAAGTGCTGGTAATTTGCAGAGTAGCCGTAGTGGTCTTCATTGTGCCAGCAGAATGTGGAAAAGCACATTCCAACGTAGAGCCATGGCACCGTCATACCTGATATATCAGATTTGATATGCCTAAAGAGTGATTCTGGATGTAACGGAAGTATGTTGAGGTTCCACAGGTCCGTCGAGTAGGGATCCCTTGGGTTCTTCTCGATCGTGGGAAAGCCGCTGCCATGTGTGGTCGAATGTATGTCCGCTCCATATTCAACTTCAACTTCTTCGGAAGGGCTCTCGACTAGTCTCCAGAACTCACGTTCCACGTCATCCTCTGTAGCTGTTCGTTTTGCATTCGTTACCGGATCATATGGCATCTTAGGCTCAAAGTAGCTGTCTTTGAAGCGGTGGGCCTTGTCCTGAAATTGTCGCAGAGAATAGATACCACCTTCTTCGAAACCGAAATCTCCTGTGCCAACGAGACAGCGTGGGCAATGCCAGTCGTGAAGCGGATTGATCTTCGCAGGTGGGTCTAAGCAGTTCTGGTGGTAGCCCAATTCGCAGCCATCACAGATCAGCAAACGAGAACGCTCGTCTTTGGTTCCGCAAACTTCGCAGACCTACATGGTCGTTCAGCACTTATAACGAACTGCATTTGCTGAAAAGCTTACCTCTCCCGGCTTCCCATTTTTTCGGTCACCAGACAATCTCGGCGTTGTAGGACGAAGTAAACTCATGTGCGACCCCACAACCGTGGGAGCTGTGTACTCGGTCAGCATCAAATTCATCGAGCACTCAATTCAATGATTTGGATACTAAAATTGATGAACCGCGAAATTACGAACCTTTCTTTGCTCGCTTGCTACGACGCTCATTTTGATCATCGGCGTCAGCACAAGCACCAGAGTCCGTTCCTGATAGTCCATTCAGGCTGTCATGGCTGATTGTGCGCTTCAAGGGGTTGGAAGAGTGACCGTTTGTCAGAGGAGCTGGACTCAGGTAATCGGGAAGATCCTTTGGTGGAGGACCGAAGCTTCCGCTTGAGTTATGGCTGGGGACACCGAAAAGCCCATTTTCTGACTCTCTTTTTGGCAAAAGAGGAGGTGCATTGACGGCTTGAAAGGACGCTTGAGTGAGGTTTACCGGTGTAAAACCACCAGCATTCACGGCTGTGAAGCCAGAACTAGCTACTGGCTGCGGCTGTTCTGCAGCAGGCGGGCCTGCGTCGAGCGGATCTCCGATCTCTTTGATTGATGCATTTAGAGCAGCGGAAGCTCTGATCGCTGGTGAGTCGTCCCTCATACTTACAGGGGTATGTTGATGAGAATCCTTCATCGACTGATTGGCGGACGAAGGAGTAAAGGGTCCCCCATGCTCGAACTCAAGCTGTTGCTGTACACCAGGTTTGGCGAGCTTCAGATATTCCTCGTATGGGTGTAGCCACCGTTGGTACGAATTTTTCAGCGAGGTCGAGAGAGACGACATGATTTTTCCGCTGTATCCCAAATCTCTTCCAATCTCTGCCCATTTCTTCAGCTTGCAGACCTTCTCGAAGCCACCGCGTTGTGCCACTGCTTTTTTCAACTTGTACAGATCGAGTGGTCGTTTATCGACGCTGGGAAAGCGATTGAGGTTCATGCCATGTTGTTTGTGAAACTTTGCGAGTTGATCGAGGTAGTTGAGATTAGTCCGGGTTCCTGAGAGGCGTTAGCTCCGTGTCGCAAGCCAATTTTGGTAGCAGAGGCGTGAAGAAAGCTAGGACTTGCCTCCTTCGACCGAATTCAGCTCTTGGCGGCGTGTCTTGAAGAAGAATCTCTGGCTCGGGGTTAGCTACACTTTCCTATGGCCTCACTCTGCCACCTTCTCATCTTCTTCAACATAGTGAAATGCGTACCTCTGTATTGATGGCAAATGCCGGGTTCCACGAGTCTGGCGGTATGATCTTGGCGACTCCGTACTTCTCTCCTTCTGGGCGTATTTTTCTTATGTATGCCATGGGATCTTTGAACTCTTCTTCTGTCGGTCTGAAGGTTGGGGCCTCTTGTAAACCGTGTGGCCTCGTCCTCCTGTGCGATTCCCGAGCAGCGAGCGGGTGTCCGCGCCTCTCGACCGTGGACATGTCCAAGGGCGGGGCTCGCCGCTGGCTGAAGGGTATATGGGAAGCATAATTGTGAAATATGCCATTGGTAGTAGGTGGGTTTAGATTGACTTGGAAGCTCCCAGTCGAAGGTAATTGAGATGCAGCTGGCGTCGGCGTGGGATTACCTCCACTTGAAGGAGGCACCACCATCTCCGCAAGCTTCCCAAAGATCGGACCACACGAAAATGTCGAGGACGTGAATGTTGATGCTCATGCGGTCGAAGATGGTGGCTGACAGTAAGATAGCGTACTATGCAAAGAGTGTCGAGGTAATAGGACCAAAGCTCGTTGGTAGAATTAATTAAGCTGTGTTAGGCCAGGTTTGATACAAAGCCACTATTCGTACTATACGGCCGCAGATGGAGATCCTTGGCGAGACAATTAGTGAATGAGAGAATGAATGAATGAGTCATAGACCTTGATATCACAACATGTAGCATGAGTGAATTACAAGATATGTGGGAAGGTCAGGAATATTGAAAGAATGGCAGGAATGAGGAGAGCGGGAAATAGAGAGGTACAGGCACAGAAAAGGCAAGGGCGAGATCGATATCTGGAACTGGTCGCAAGCCACAGAAGCAGCCTTCGTACCCTTGTCAAAAATACGGTAGCCTCAAAGTCGCGCATGACGACGAATTAGCCGAAACTTAGTGTCAGTCAATCCCTGCACCTCACTCCAATGTTCGGGGGGAAATACCCTGTAGTACCGGTCACAAGGTACTATGTAGGTAGGTATCGAAGGCTAAATATTTCTTGGTTGTAGCTGACAACCAGGTACCCAAACCAGCAATTTCCTGCACTCTCTCCAGAGTACTTGCCAAATCTAAATGCCGAAACCGATACGCTTAATCATTATGAAGCTGTGACCTTTGCCATTCAGCAACGTACGGCCAGAGACTGCCATATTCAATCTCCTGTATATGAGTCACGCGAATTAAATTCACCATAACATCATGGAGGCCAGACCAATCCCAGCTTTTTACTGCTGCTACTTGCTACGCTCTACAGAACGTCACTCATCACTCTATGTGGGCTCAACTCCAAACCCTGCCCGTCGACTTGCTCAACACAATGGACTCTCCAAAGGAGGCGCTGTCCGCACATCGCGGAACAACCTCCGGCCCTGGGAAATGACATTGTGTCTGATGGGGTTCCCATCCAAAATTGCCGCTTTACAGTTTGAGTAAGAAGATCACTCTCTCTTTCCGTTTCAGCAGGATATGCTAGACTTAGCCTGGAAATCTTTATCATGACATGCATGGTTCAGGACCCTGGTACATGCTGCAAGCATTGCTCGCTTTCTGACGCGCCTCATAGATGGGCCTGGCACAATACCCATATAACCAGGAGAATCGCCGATGAGCAGCGCATCACGACTCGAGAAACCAAAGTTCGGACCTTCACCAAGACAGGGCCTACTCGAAAACGTCCTGCAAGACCTCGAACGTCGCTCATCGACAAGCTCTCTAACCTTCACCTACTCCTTCGAGTCCCGAGCTTTTCGAGATGGCCTCTTCAGGTACGGTTTTTTTGCGAGGACGTCTATCAGGTATGGCAGGGTTGGAATGAGAGAGTAGATGGCAGCATCAGGAGCGGTATCAAGGTATTGCTCGACCTGAAACAGCCAGAGGAAACCATCAATGACCGCGAACCCCTCATGAGTACGCAAGCGAAAGGTAAGCGGAAGCGAGAGGCGTTAGGCAAGGGCGGCATCGAGGGGCTGGACGTCGGATACAGCAGGTTGAAGAACCATGTACGGAAGAGCACTCTCTTCCTCACAAAGGACGAGGATCTCAAATGCGCAGTGTGTACAAAGAACCTGGGTCCGAAGACAGCGATGGCGCTACTTTGTCCTCAAGAGGACTGCAGGACAGCGTCACATCTGACCTGTCTGGCGACCAAATTCATCGAAGATGAAAAGGCGAGCGCCGCTGTTACACCAATCTCTGGGAGATGTCTAGGGTGCAAAGCAGAGCTCCAATGGATCGATCTGATCAAGGACTTAAGCCTGAGGGCAAGAGGCGAGAAGGAAGTTGCCCAAATGATGAAAAAGCCCAAAGAGCGCAAGACTAAAGTGCCCAAGACAAAGAACGCGGGGGCATTACATCTTGAAGCGCATACTGTTATAGAGGATGTAGCCGATCCAGACAAAGATTTCGTGGAGGCTGACATGCGCGCCCTAAATGCTTCAGATGAATCTCTTCCAGACGATTGGCAGTACCAAGATGACGACGATGATGATATGATGTCAGTGATGAGTGGCCACTCTGCTCTCTCAGATGGCGTTGACGCTGCGAATGCCACGAAACGCTCCTTAACCGCGCCAAAGCTGCCAGCTGTGATTGAGGACAGCGATTGGGATGACGCAGAACCAATCAATTAGAGTATTCAATGCAGGGACCTTGGATTCAGCCCTGTATATGTGCCATCTCTTCCCAAGGCAGAATCGCTGTTAGCGGCTTTGCCATTTTAGGTTGTTCCATCACATCATTCACTCTCTCTATAATGTCTTGCTCAACCTCTTCAACGCTTCTCCCTGCATCAACTACCCGTATATCCAGACCATCACTGGTACCCATGAGCTCATAAAACAGCTCTCTTACCCTCTTTTGCATGGCGCTCGTTTCATACTTCTCGCGCCCGAAATTTCCTCTCTTCGCGGCAACTTCTGGCGCAATGTCCAGGAACACGCACACGTCTGGTCGGGGCAAGCCGATCTCCGGATCTCTTGCCCATTTCAAAGATAGATCTACTTTGTCTTTGGCAGCGGAGTAGACTATACCGGAGTAATGATATCGATCTATGACCACAGTAAACCCCTCTTCAATGGCGCTGCGTATCTGGCCTGCCGCTTCCCATCTGTTGGCGGAAAACAGTAGATGTATCACGTGGTCTTCCTGTTGGCTTTCGCCCCTGAGGTAGGCATCTATCGACTTTCCGATTGGAGTGGTTCTGTCTTGGTTTGTGCATTAGATTTGGGGGTATTAAAAAAGGAAGGCAGAGAGAGCATGACTACCAGGAAATCTCAAGGACTTGACTCGGCGACCTTGGCTCTCGAGATTCTGGCAAAGTCGGGCATGTTGGGTAGACTTCCCAGCGCGATCGAGTCCTTCGATGACTATCAAGGCACCCCGTGAAAGTGGTGGCATATCTTCAATATTGAGCGCTCTCTGTTGAGTGGAGACTTATCAGCTTTTTTTGAATTTGTTAGGCTGTACAGTCACTGCAGTGTGAGGTATGGAGATGAGGCTGAAACTAGCGCTCCCGGGAGCGGTTCGCGGGTGCCAACAACCAGTGACGCGCTTTGTTTATTTTGTGCAACTCGAGAAAATACAGCTTAAGCACAACTTGGCGCATTGGATTGTTACAATCCACCACTTTCTTTTTTTTCAATTTACTTGAGGATTCATGGGGCTGTTCATTGCTTCTTCTTCTTCTTCCGTTCGACTTTCGCTCGTTCAGCATCCACTGTTGTTGGCATTTTCAGTCCTGTACTATACGGCGCTCGAATTACTCTCTCTAACGACACTGCACCGGACGAAACTTATTGCACGATTTCCCGACATATTCATTTGTTCCGACAACATCAGAAGCGGTAAATCGGACGGCAGCGATTATGGCATTTGTAGCGCCGAGTCTGCCCACTCGGTTTCCCTGCTGGTGTCGAGCTACATACTCATGGGGGGGAGAGTCCAAAAGAGACCTAGGGTTCGTGGAAGGTGACCTCATAGAATGCCTGAATGCTGGGGATGGATCATGGTGGATGGGACGATTGCGCAGGGACAGACGGGCAATGGGACTCTTCCCATCGAATTTTGTACAAGTGCTAGACGCAAGCTTTCAGCCTGTGAGCCGAGTCTCAAGCCCGATGCCGGGAAGCGCAGCAGGAAGCCTCACCAAACCTTCTCCACAGAAGAGCAAAACTTTCCGCAAACCATTCCAGGCTTACGCGCGCGCTGGATCTCCAAACCCTGCTGCAGCTGCGGCCAACATCAACAACGGACCGACAGCGCCGTCCCCTGTCCCGTCCAGGCAGTCGAGCTCTTTGCAATCACCGTCTAAGGGTCCTTCCAGACATCCAAGCTACCTTCCAAATCATTCGAGTCCCTCAAGACAACCAAGCTATCTACAAATGTCCGAGAGTCCTTCGAGACAGTCAAGCCATCTGCAAACATCTTTCAGTCCGACAAGACAGTCAAGCTATCTACAACAATCCACAAGACCTTCATCATCAGGTCACAATACAGCCTATGCATCCCCTTCTCCAGCTGCTTCTGCACATTATCAGCACTCACCTGAACCTGATTCCCAAGACCACGACGACGAATTCAGTTCATCCCCACCACCTCCTCCACCTCCACCACATCGTGTTGCATATAATGCACCACCTCCTCGAGCTTCTCCATCTCCAACACCATCCATGAACGATCGATATCCTACTGTGTCGAGAGGTCCTTCTCCAGCACCACCTTCGCCTGGTGTCCATGGACATACGCCATCGCCTCTGCGGGATGCTATGGACGATGTGATGTCTTCGCTACATGACATGGCAATGCGGCGAACTGAGTCTTCTCCTTCACCTGAGCAAGAACAAGCCCCCCTTGATCCATGGTCACCCGAGGCTTTCGATGAGCTTCGTACTAGTTCAAATACGCGGAATCATCATCGGCCACGTTCATCATTGGGAATTGCCTCTTCGCAAAGAGGAACAGAACAGTACCAGAATGACGATGGGTATGGTATTTGTAATTATGATGAAGGCCCACCGCAGGTACACGACTACGTTGAACGCATGGAAGATCGCTTGCGCAATATAGGGGCTACCAGCCCTCGCCCACCTGACGAGCTCTTCCTCCCGGATGATCCCATGGGTCCACCGCCGGCTCCACCCCCCAAAAATTCTCCATATCAGCCTCGGACACAGTCGTCACAAGGGATGAGAGAATCCGTGTCTGGCAGCATCAAGTCTAGTCATCGGTTAAAGAACCGGAAATCGGCCTATGAACTTGGACGGAGTATGTTGGACCGTACTTTCACAACAAAGTCAAGCGCAACAAACTCTTCGAGTGGTGTTCAGAGCGTTGCAACGAATGGTACAACCAGCACTCAGAGAACGAGCCAAAGCATCATGAGTGGGTACTCTGCAGGAG